GCAGTTCCAGGGTTGCATTAAATTCGGGGGTCATGTGAGTATCACATAACACTTGAGTCCCTACCTACAGTGATCAGAGGATTTGTCCGAAAGACAAAATCCCGTTTAATCATTTATACTCTTTTGAGTCTAAATTCTAAGTAAAGCTCACACGATACACCCAAAACTAAAGAATATAGACGTTTTATTCCAGTGGTCTGTTCCCAAAGTCAACAAGAATCGGTTCCCAAAGAACCGCAACTATTTACACTATTTACATTGTTCTGAAAATTGTCCTAATCATTGTTGCTATATTCACGACGTTTCGATCGTTGTACGCCCAGGCCTTCTTCAGGTGATATATTTTGGAATTTCGAACCGAACCTTTTACTTAGTCCATTGTTAAATTGTTCTAATTCCACGTGCCATGCCATTTTTAAATATCTTAATTCCAGTTAATTCCCCTTGGTAACTCAAAATCCAAGTTTTTGTTCACCTCTGCTGTGGCCAGATATTGAACTCACAACTCTTTGTGTCAAATCACTTAAGCATCTCTCAACCAACACTTTTATCTATTGGTCTATGTGTTATTGGGGAATTACAACAGTCTGTCCCTGTAGACTGAATAAAGGTTCGAAATTCGGTTCGAAATTCTAACTAATACGACCTAAAGAAGACCGAAGCATAGAGCGACCGAAAGGTCGTGAATATAGCCAATAAAGATGAAGAAACAGTCCAAACAATGCAAATGATGTAAATAGTTAAAATATCTCATCTCAGAGATATAGACAGACGTTGAAGAACCGTAATTTCTATGCAAATAGTTTCTTCTGCGGCAACTATCACTTCTCGAAATCGTTTTTGATTTCTTTCTTCAGTGCCGCCTACAAAGGAAAGGTCACTCCTTCTTCGTGAAATCTGTTCTTTTATTGCCCTTTCTCTTCACTTAAGTTTTCCCATTCTCTTCCACTTTCGGTAACCTTCTTACGTCTTAGTGGCTTCAACGCCATCTTCTGTCTTTCTGAATCCAGTTCCTCTATTGTCATTTTCCTCACGTCTCCCCACTAAAGTCTTCACATTCTCTTTCACACCCAGTAACCGCCTTGCATCTTAGTGGCATTATCGCCATCTTCTGTCTTCCTGAAACCTGTTCGTTTATTGTCCTTTCTCCCAATTAAAGTCTTCTCATTCTCTTTCACTCCCAGTAACCCATAGCATCTTAGTGGCATTATCGCCATCTTCTGTCTTCCTGAAATCTGTTCATTTATTGTCTTTTTCTCATTTCTCCTCACCAAAATCTCCCCATTCTCTTTCATTCCCAGTAACCCCTTGCGTCTTAGTGGCATTATTGCCATCTTCTGTCTTCCTTAGGCCTGTTCCTTTATTGTCCTTTTCCTCACTTCTCTTCACTAAAGTCTCCCTTTTCTCTTTCACACCCAGTAACCCCTAGGATTATCGACATCGTCTTCCTGATCCCTGTTCTTTTATTGTCCTTTCTCCTCACTAAAATCTTCTCATTCTCTTCCACTTTCCTTGCGTCTTAGTGGCATTATTGCCTTGATTGGGGGGATGTTATAAAGAGCAACCTCGGTTCTTGACCATAATTTTTTTTGAAAGTCTGTTCTGAAACCGAATTGTTCGAGAACCGAAACATTTTCCCCCCATTACAATTAATATAAAAGAGATTAATCCGTTTCCAAGCACAAGATGGATGCTTATTTACGTGCTTATACTATATATTCAGGTATATCTTTCTCTTGAATTTCTTTTCTTTTTTCTTTCAGTAAAATAAAACTGTGCCTGCGTTGTAAAATGTTTCTAAAATGAGACATGACATTGTCATTGAAAAAGCTTACAGCTCTATTTACTACCATTAGGTGATATTTTTCCACTTTTCACGTCACCCCATTTAACATAAATTTCTTTCATTAAAATCTTAGGACATCCAAATAAGCAATAAGCTTGTCGCTTCTTCGTGTATCAGTCACTACTTTTGCAGCATAGGCTGCATTTATCATTTCCTTATTTCTTAGCACTTCCATATTTTTTATAATAGTAGATGTTGTCGATTTTGGCATACCATACTGCAGAGCGAGATCTGACACACGAACCGCATTTTCGTGTCTTGCAAAGATTTTATTTCTTCACTTCAGTTGTTTTTCTCTTTTCCTTTAACATTACCATTGCTCGCTTTCTTTGGAGCCATGACTGAAGACTAATGAAGAGAAAAAAGTCAGAGTCGAATAAAATTGGAAAAGAAAAGCACAGCACAACACACGAATGTATACAACATGGCGGTCGACTAAGAAATGATTCCGTTCGGATTAAATTGGTTCGGCTCGGTTTGACAATGTTGTTAGAGAATCGAAATTTTGTTCAATAACCGAGGCATTTTACTTTCGAATATTCTGCTCAAAAACCGATTTGTTCGACATGTGTAACGTTCGAGAAACGAGGTTGCTCTGTATATGAATTTAAGCGCGCTACTCGATTGACAATTAGGTCTCACCGTTTTACTGTTGAAGTAGCTCGATGCCACCGTATATTCTGTTTTAATAGTTTCTTTTCTTACATGTATGGCATGTGGATCGTTGATTTTGCCATATATAACTGAGTAGGAAGAGAAAATATCATCAACAGTTATTTTTTTCTCACCTTATTCCTTTACCAGTATCACTGCTAGCTTTCTTTGCAGCCATGACTGAAGACTAATGAAAAGAAAAAAAGGCACAGTTCAATCAAATTGGAAAAGAAAAGGCACAGAGTAACACACGAATGTTTACAACAAAGCGGTCGACTCAGAAATGATTCTGTTCGGGTTAACTCGGTTCAGCTCGGGACGTCTCAGTTCGGCTCGGTTCGTCTCGGTTCAGCAATGGTGTTAGAGAACAGAAAATTTGTTCGATACCCGAGGCATTTTCCTCTCGAATGTTCTGTTCGGAAACTGATTTGTTCGACATGTGTAACGTTCGAGAAACGAGGTTTCTCTACATATATATATATATATATGTGTGTGTGTGTGTGTGTGTGTGTGTGTGTGTGTGTGTGTGTGTGTATAAAATTTATGAAGTTCATTGTATGGTTCTCAATAGAAATTGTGCAGAGAAATCCGAAGACATATCGAAATAACAAAAGATGTCTTTTAGAAACTAAGCCAAGTATTAAGTAAGAGGAAAATATTTTTAGACATAAAAAAAGTTTTCTCAGCTGCTATGTATTAGTTCATTCTAATATTAACCATTTCCCTACAAAGAAACATTTGGCATTCATTCATCGAGCAGCGAAGTAGCTCTTTCAGTTAAAGTATTTCTCTAAAAATACATTTTACGAAAAAAAAAGAAGATATTTTTCAAGTCCATTAGCTGTTATCGCTCTTTCCAGTATTGACGGGGTTTTCCTTCTTAACCTTTTATTTGAAGTGGTGTGAAAAGCTGACATTATTATTTTCTCTTCGAGTTTGTGCTATCCACTTTAGTTGTTGCTGCTGTTGGTATTCCTCAAATGATGTGGTTTCTGTTATTTAGTACAGTTCTTCGTTTGTGATTTCGTATCTCCAGCATATAAGGTTCAAATAAGTATGATCTTTGCCAACACCCTGAGTCTTTACTTGCTCAAGGCCTTTTTCAACATTGATCTTAGGAAACGGTTGTATACAGCTGACAGTTTAGACATTTCTGAACGGGATTGATGCCATGCATGACATCCATATGAACGTCTCGTTCAAAAAGGGATGGGGTTTGCCAATGCCCTCAGGTTTGATTCGACCAAAAGCCTTTTGTTCAACATTGATGTTAGGAAGCGATTGTATACAGCTGAGAGTTTAGACATTTCTGAACGGATTTGTGACCATTCATGACATCCATATGAAAGTCTCGTTCAAAAAGGGATGACCTTTGACAATGCTCCCAAGTTTCATTCGCTCAAAGCTTTTTGTTCAACATTGATCTAAGGAAGCGGTTGTATACAGCTGACAGTTTAGATATTTCTGAAGGGGTTTGGTGCCATGCATGACATCCATATGAAAGTCTCGTTCAAAAAGGGATGAGTTTTGCCAATGCCCTTAGGTTTCATTCGCTCAAAGCCTTTTGTTCAACATTGATCTTAGGAAGCGGTTGTATACAGCTGGGAGTTTAGATATTTCTGTACGGGTCTGGCAACACACAAGACATGAGAGAGTCTCGATCTGACGAGTCTATCTGCGAGCAAGCCTCGAATTTTCAGGTCGATGGTTTGCTGTTGTACCAATTTGGTTGGACGAGGCAACCTATCGTACAGCCTCTTCTATGTTTAATTTCTTTTTCTCCTATACTTAATTTGTTGTTGTTCTTCTATGTACCGTGTCCCTTCAGGACGTCGGCGATATTGGCTCTCCATCTCCTCCTGTAAGTTTTGTCTTTCTTTTATTTCTCCCAGACACTGTTCTAACATCCACTTGCTTAAGCTCGTTAAATATGACACGCGTTGCTTTCCCTTGTCACTCTTTCTCTCTATCCGCCCTGTGAATATCATATTTTCCAAGCCCTCCTTTCTCATTAGGTGACCCAGGAATTTCAGTTGCCTCTTCATGATGTTAAGTATAAGTTTCCTCTTTGTTTGTGCCCTCTACAAAACCTCATCTTTGCTCACATGTTCGGTTCAAGGTGTCCTTATCATCCTTCTCTAGAACCATAACTCCGTTGCCTCGAGTCTCTTCGTCATCTTTGCGGAGACCTTCCAACATTCGCTGCCGTAAAGGAGGACAGATATCACGTAGCAGTTAAGTACTCTTTTCTTTGTTACCAACGAAACCTTCTTGTCTCGTAATATTTTGCCTAGCTTTTGGAATGCGCCTTTGGTTATCCCAATACGTCCTCAGAGTCGTACTTACGGTCCGAACGCTTCCCAGATATTTAAACTTCCGCACCTGCTTGATTTTAGTGTCCTCGACCTGTAAGTTGCATTTCAGGCTCATCTTTTTACTGATGACCATGCGTTCTGTCTTATAGTCTATGCTTTGTCCCTTCTTCTTGCTCTCCTTCGCTAACTTCTGTACGAGGTTTTATAATTTCCTTTCCGTGTTTGTTATTAGCATTGTGTCATCTGCGTATCTTATGTTGTTAAGATTTTGTCCGCCGATGATGAATCCTGGTAGGGTTTCCAGTTTCTTTTTCTTCATCTTTGAGGAGAGCGTCGGATATTCGTGGCCGTAAAGGAGGACAGATATCACGTAACAGTTCAGCATTCGCTTTGTTACCAACGAAATCTTCCTATCTCGTAAGACTCTGCTTAGCTTTTAAAATGCGTCTTTAGCCATCTCAATACCTCTTCGGATCTCAGCGTCGCACTTACCGTCCTCTGTCAGAACACTTCAAAGATATTTAAATTTCCCCACCAGCTTGATTTTAATATCCTCGACCTCTAAGTCATATTTCGGTCTTATCTTTTTGCTGATGACCATACATTCTGTGTTTTTGAAGTATATGTTTAATCCCTTCTCGCTCTATTTCGCTAGGAGGTTTTGTAGTCTTCTATCTGTGTTTCATATCAGAACTGTGTCATCTGCGTATCGTATGTTGTTAAGATTGTAACCGCCAATGATGAATCCTGGTAGGATTTCCAGTTTTCTTTTCTTCATCTTGGAGGAGACCGTCCAACATTCGCTGCCGTAAAGGAGGACAAATATCACGTTGCAGTTAAGTACTCTTTTCTTTGTTATCAAAGAAATCCTCCGATCTCGTAATACTCTGCTTAGTTATTGGATTGCGTCTTTGGCCATCCCAATACGTCTTCGGATCTCAGTGTCGCACTTAAGGTCCTCTCACGCAGCATCCTCTCCAAAACCTCATTGTTGTTAACATGTTCTGTCCATGGCATCGTTATTATCCTTCTGTAGAACCATACCTCTGTTGACTCGAGTCTCTTCTTCATCTTTGAGTGGACCATCCAACATTCGCTGCCGTAAAAGATGACAGATATCACGTAGCAGTTCAGTACTCTTTTCTTTGTCACCAACGAAATCCTCTTGTCTCTTAATACTCTGCCTAGCTTTTGGAATCCGTCTTTGCCTATCCTAATAGGTCTTCGGATCTCAGGGTCGCACTTACCGTCCTCTGTCAGAACACTTCAAAGATATTTAAATTTACACACATGCTTGATTTTAGTGTCCCCGTCCTGTTATTCGCACTTCGGGCTCATCTTTTTACTGCTGACCATGCATTTTGCCTTTTTGTAGTTTATGCCTAGTTTCTTTGAGGAGATGAGCAACTTCAATACCAAAAAGGATAAAACTACAGATTCTCCAAGCCGTCCTTCCTCATTACGGGTCCTGGAAATTTCAACTGCTTCTCTCTGATGTTAAGTATAAGTTTCCTCTTCGTTTGCATCCTCTCCAAAATCTCATCGTTGTTCACATGTTCAGTCCATGGCATCCTTATTATCCTTCTGTAGAACCATACCTCTGTTGACTCGAGTCTCTTCTTCATCTTTGAGTGGACCATCCAACATTCCCTGCCGTAAAGGAGGACAGATATCACGTAGCAGTTCAGTACTCTTTTCTTTGTTACCAACTAAAACCTTCTTGTCTCGTAATACTCTGCCTAGCTTTTGGAATGCGTCTTTGCCTATCCTAATAGGTCTTCGGATCTCAGCATCGCACTTACCATCCTCTGTCAAAGCACTTTCCAGATATTTAAATTTCCACATCTTCTTGATTTTAGTGTCCTCGACCTCTAAATCGCATTTCGGGTTCATCTTTTTACTGATCACCATGCATTTTGTTTTCTTATAGTTAATACTTAGTCCATTCTTCACACTCTCCTTCGCTACATACTGTAAGGGGTTTCTAATTTCCTTTCCGTGTCTGCTAACAACACTGTGTCATTTACATATCTTATAATGTAATTTATAGGTGATTCATACGCAGAGGTACTTGAGGTGTTTACTAATTCCAGACGTAATTCTTTCATTCAAATTCCACATCAGTAGAAGTTTTAGAAAAGTTTATCTTGAGTCCTATTTCTGAGAACTCTTGATAGAGGATGCTGATTTGCTTTTCAGGATCATTATTGTCTTAACTATGAATACCTATATTATCGGAATAGCTCCCCTCATCAGTACATAGGCCTCGGATGAGAAAGAAGGATCATTGTCTTCTTTTGGTAGACTTGTTTGGAATGCAGATAGTAGCCATCTCATCACATCTGTGTTTGTAAATACGCAGTGCATAGTTTCGGAAGAGATTAAATAGGGAATATATTACTAAATAAAATGTATATATAAGATACATGGTTAAAATGTCTTTGAGCGGTGCGAAGCCAATGTGCCTTGATGAAGAATTCTTCGAGACTGGAGCTAGGCTATATAAATAGAGGTAAACAGACACGGGTAGAGAGATAGATAGATAGATATAATGTAATAGATAGATAGATAGATAGATAGATAGATAGATAGATAGATAGATAGATAGATAGATATGAATAGACTGAGATAGATATGAACATACTTAGATAGATAGATAGATAGATAGATAGATAGATAGAGAGAGAGAGAGAGAGATGTGAATAGACAGGGATATATATGTGAACATACTGAGATAGATATGGATAGAATGATATATATATATATATATATATATATATATATATATATATATATATATATAGATAGATAGATAGATAGATAGATAGATATTAATAGACTGAGATAGATATGAACATACTGAGATAGATATGAATAGAATGAGATAGATAGATATGAATAGACTGAGATAGATATGGACATACTGAGAGAGAGAGAGAGAGATATGAATAGAATGAGACAGATAGATATGAACAGAATGAGATACATAGATAGATAGATAGATAGATAGATAGATATTAATAGACTGAGATAGATATGGACGTGCTGAGAGAGACAGACATGAATAGAATCAGATAGATAGATATGAATAGACTGAGATAGATATGAATAGAATGAGATAGATATGAATAGAATGAGATAGATATATAGATAGACAGATACATATGAATAGACTGAGATAGATACGAATACACTGAGATAGATATGAACATAGATAGATAGATATGAATAAAAATATATATATATATATATATATATATATATATATATATATATATATATAGATAGATAGATAGAGAGAGAGAGAGAGAGAGAGAGAGATAGAGATAGATAGATAGATAGATAGATAGATAGATAGATAGATAGATAGATAGATAGATAGATCGGAATAGACTGAGATACATAGATAGTTTACATTGATAGATGTGAACAGACTGCGATAAATAACCGTGTCAAATAACAAAAATAACAATATTTGAGATAAACCTGTACTCCTGCTCAAAAAGCCGGTGAGGAGTGTGAACCGGACGATAGGCGAACTTATCTACCATTTCATTTCTTATCTTCAAACTTTGCTCTAATTTTTCTCTTTCCTCTCTGTTGTAGATTCCGAGATGAATTCGGTCTCCAAGGAATGACAAACGCAATAATTAAATATAAGAAATAAAATGTATTTACACAATTATACAAAGAGTAATACTGTTAGTAAATCCAGGAACACGGTTAGTAGCAAATACAGATAGATATATACAATCTCGAATTAGGACTTCCTTAGAGTCTACGTGCTTGTAACTGACTTCTACAAGAGGCTACCTCACACTATCTCCGTTCGTATATTCTCTCTCTCTCCGTATATCCAATCTCTCTGACTGTCTAACTCTGGATATTTAATGGCAGCACTCCAAGTAACACTGGTAGAGTCCACTTATATGAAAAGGGGAGGATCCCATAACACTCTCTGACTACTGCAATCGTATATTTTCCTATTTTTTCCAAAAAGTTTTCTCTGACCTCCAACCCCACACAATCATTCCCTCTATATGGACCCCTAACGTTTATATTCTAAACGATTATAATCTTCCTCATATTCATATTCCAATTCGCCGCTCTCTCCCTATATATATATATATATATATATATATATATATATATGTGTGTGTGTCTGTGTGTAAAAAAAAGCCAGGCCCGACATAAAACCTGCTCTCTCCGCCTCCTTGGGAATACCTTATTTCTTCTTTCATGATTTTCGCTGAGTAAATCTCATTAAAACAAAATCCCAGCTCGGAAATTTCCCGATGGAAAAATTACCCGATCAAAGTGTCTTTATTAATTGATATAATGATGGAGAACTGAAGAATAATGCTGTAATGGGTGGTTAGATGCAATTTAGGGAATAATAAAAAATTGATGAGGACAGAACGAATAGATATTAGAAAGATTTAAAACAATGAGATAGATATTTATATAGATAGATGTAAACAGGCACAGATAGATAGAAAGAAATGGATAGACTGAAAAAAGATAGATAGATAGATATGAACAGCCAAAGATAGATATGAATAGACTGAAAAAGATAGATAGATAGATAGATAGATAGATATGAACATACTGAGATAGATATGAATAGACTGAGATAGATAGATAGATAGATAGATAGATAGATAGATAGATAGATATGAATAGACTGAGATAGATATGAACATACTGAGATAGATATGAATAGACTGAGATAGATAGATAGATAGATAGATAGATAGATAGATAGATAGATAGATAGATTACGATAAACGTGCAATCAATTTACAAATTCATGAATTATTCACACAAAAACAAAAGCAAAGGTTTATGATTTATTTGGCGAGAAATCCATCATCGTAAACAATTCAAATAATATACAAAAACCTCCGAATCCGTTATGAATGAATTGATACTTGTTTCCATAAATTTCTGCCGTATTAGTTCTTAGCTTTTCGTCTATTCCTACAGGCATCTTCAGGTATAGAATAGATGTTGTTCTTTTTTTTCGGATACAACAATACATATATTTTCGTTGTCCTCTTATTACTAAGAGAAAAACAAAGAACAACATCTATTCTATACCTGAAATGTCTAAGAACAGACGAAAGCTTGTAGTAAAAATAAGAACTAATACGGCAGAAATTTATGGAAACAAGGATCAATTCATTCATAATGGATTCGGAGTTTTTGTATATTATTTGAATTGTTTGGTGATGATGGATTTTCACCAATTAAATCATTAACTTTGCTTTTGTTTTGTGTGAATAATTCATGAATTTGTAGATAGATAGATGTAGACTGAGATAGATATAAACATACTGAAATAGATAGATATGAATAGACTGAGATAGAATGTACGAGATTCATGGAAGATTGAAGTTTATAAGCAGTAAATTCGACCTTGCCAACCGAACGATCCTTTGTGGCCGAGTCTCGGTTAAGGCACGTCAGCGTAAACGACGGTTCCGTATAGGATGCAGGTTCGAATCCTGTCAAAGAACGAATATTGTCTATGAAAAATTCTCGGACATTCAGGCCGGTAAATGTTATTTAATACTGTTTATTATAAACAGAGCATTTACTTAAATACTTGTATCTATAAAAAGAACGTTAAACATAAAAATGTCTTTAATAAATATATATATATATATACTTTCAAAATCAGGAGCTCAGTTGATTCCGCTACCTTGGTTTCAACCTTACGGTATCCTCAGGCAATTTTTTATCAAATGACCCCCTAACGCTTTTGATTATTAAAAAAACACAAAGAATGTTGCATTATTACTTTAAAAAATAAAGAAAGAAACGCATGACGTTGGGTGTAATAGAAAGAGAGGAGGAGGATGTGAAAAAGGAGGAAGAAGAAGGGGGAAAGGAAGAAAGCAATTGTATTGAAAATGTATCGCTGGTGGGTGGGGTTAAAATATTTTTTTATCAAGCCTGACATGCCCTTGAGACAAATTGTATGATATGCAAGCAAGGATGTAAGACTTCGGATTTCGGATATGATTTAAGACTGTGCATATGTCTAAAGACTTCGTATATGTCTTAACATACACACAAGGCGGGGTGTTTGCGTGCGTACTTCTATGTATGTATGTATGTGTGTGTGCGTTGGTACACATGCATAGGCACGCACATAAGTAAAAACGCACACCTTCACAAACATACAAAAATATACACACAAAAATTCAATCATTACCTAAACTAAATGGTCAACAAAATAACAAACCAGAGATCAACGGAGTAGGTGAGGAAGGAATAAATGAAAAAATGAGAAAAAAGAAAACATAGGAAGGGAGAGCTAGTGAAATCGTCAATCAACACACACCAAGCAAAAAGAAAACTAATACTCATACTACAATAAATAAAATAGAACTGAGAAATGCCAACAGTTTAACTCTGTTTCAACGAGTGACTATATCTATATAGCCAGGAAACACCGAAGTAAACCTGTCAGGCAGTTAGTTATATACTATACGTGATACATGCTTAGGCTTTTATGTATCTTTCGATACATGACTGACGAGGCAGATTTTTCCCAGCAATAGGTTACCATTTCTTTCTGTAGTAGACCAGTTGCCATCATAGGCTATATTATAGTCAGTCATTTATGTCCAAATAGTAAATATGAGCCAAGTCCAACAATTACCCTGTGGTTGTGACCACCATGACAGTTCCATCGTTATTCAAGAATCTAACCATCTTTAGGGAAATAAGGAAGATCCTATATTAATGCCGTCATAATAAAGTAAGTTTCTATTTTGCCTTTAAATCACACTGAATCGTTCAGAGCTCCCTCGAAACAGTCAGTCAGTTATGTGCCATGCGTGATACACGCTTAGACGGTCATGTATCGTTCGATACATGACTGACGAGGCAGATTTTTTTTCCAGCAATAGGTTGCCATTTCTTTCTGCAGTAGACCAGTTGCCATCGGAGAGAAAGACACCCCACCCCAAGCCGCGAGAGTGGGGTTACCCAATTGCAACAATTTTGTCACTATAAATTCTTCTCGATTCAGATTGAGTTAAACAAGTATATTAAGAGATACAGTAATACTTCCCTCTCCAAAATGCAGTACCTGCTCTTATTTATAGCTGGGAGAGTCCATGCGCGTGTGGGTAAATTACCAGATAGCTAGATAGATCGATAGATATGAACAGACTAAGACAGATAGTTAAATAGATAGATATGAACAGAGTAAGATAGATAGATAGATAGATAGATAGATAGATAGATAGATAAAACTAATATATATATATATATATATATATATATATATATATATATATATATATATATGCGGTCCACTGATTATAATCTCTTGTGTTTTTACCTTTATTTTCCCTTTTTAGATTTTCTTCATTTTTTAACCAAACACGGACACTTAATGAGATTATATATATATATATATATATATATATATATATATATATATATATATATAATGTTTTTTCCAGACTCTAGGTATTATCTGTGTGCGTACCGGCTTGGCTGTCTCCGCCTACTTGTTCAATCACGGACCATTAAGTCGATATGTAACCGTGTCTCCCCGACTCTAGTGTCCCTAACCACGCACGACTTAGTTCACAGTATCACCTCACACCTTTCTTTTTTACATTCGCCGAACCCAGCCACCTGAATCCCCTTGTTCAAATACGAACGACTCTCATCACAGAACACGTTCAATAACAACTAATAATTAAGACTAAGTCTCCTCTGCAGTAACCTAGCATACATTTATTCTGGGTGGCCGACCTGCTTAGGTCTCTGTCTTATTCGTATAATAACAATTAATATATATATATATATATATATATATATATATATATATATATATATATGTATACCAGGATTTACTAAAAAAACAAATTAATTTCCATGCCTGAGGATGGCTGTATGTACAGCTGAAAGTACTAGAAAATAAAAAAAAACCTTATACAACTTACATTTATTAAAAACAAGGATCATAACATTCATCGAGAAGTTCGTGGGTTAATGTAACTTTAATAAATTAGTTTGCGAAGACGTTTTTCACCATTTATATCATTAACTTTACTAATGTACTTTTGGTATGAATGATTCATGTAATATATATATATATATATATATATATATATATAAATATATATATATATATATATATTAAGAAATGGACAAAGTCCGACAATTTATTTATTAAAGACATTTTTATGTTTAACGTTCTTTTTTATAGATACAAGTACTTAAGTAAATGCTTTGTTTATAATAAACAGTATTAAATAACATTCAGGCCGGTAAATGTTATTTAATACTGTTTATTATAAACAAACATTATAAATACTTGTATCTATAAAAGAACGTTAAACATAAAATGTCTTTTAATATATATATATATATATATATATATATATATATATATATATATATATATATATATATATATATTGAACTGCACTACATATTTGATTTAAAAAAGAACTGATCCGGCGTTCAAATTTTCGGGATAACAGCTGCGATATTACTAAATTTATTGAACAATTTAGTTCATGTCACATCAACTGAAAAAAAAAAACTCCTACAACAAAAAATTCTCAAATTACCATATTAGTGAAAAAACGCACATTTTTAAATTTTCAAAAAAATCAACCTTAGCGTTGCAACTGCACGCTCCATTATTTCTTATCCCTTAATAATAACACATTTCTAAAAAAAAAAAAAACATATTTCGATTAACATTTAATCTTTCGTATCCCGCTACTACCTGGATTTACTAAAAAAAAACAAATTAATTTCCATGTCTGAGGATGGCTGTAAGTACAGCTGAAAGTACTCGCAAAATGAAAATGACCTTATACAACTTGAATTTATTAAAAACAAGGATGATAAGATTCATCGAGAAGTTCGTGGTTTAATGTAACTTTAATATATTTGTTTGCAAAGATGTTTTTCGCCATTCATATCATTAACTTTACTAATGTATTTTTTTGTATGAAAGATTCATGTAATATATATATATATATATATATATATATATATATATATATATATATATATATATATATATATTACATGAATTAGATGAACAAGGAATGTTAAAAGATTCATGTTAAAAAGATAAAAAAAATCAAAAACAAATGAAAACTACAGACAAAAGTTCATTTTTTTCCAGCAAAAGATTCATTTCTGTAGTTTACTGCTACCAGCAAGCAGAAATATTTCTCCTCCCGATGATGGCCATTTTGGACGAAACTAGTCGAGAAATCTAAATGAAATAATAATAAAAAAAAAACAACGAAAAGAATATTATTCTACAACCCAGTGTGTCTAAAGATTTTAAAATTTTAAATTTTGAAAAATTTTTTTTAATAAATTTTTTAATATTTTTATTTTCTTATTGTTCATATATATATATATATATATATATATATATATATATATATATATATATATATATGTGTGTGTATAATAGCTAGTCAGTCGCATTCGAGGATACCCGTCTACAAGGTCGGCTAGCCAATCCCTATTGCGGACGCTCGCTTGGGCATATTTATGTTTGCTCAACACCCACAGAGTCCACCTGTGGTTTATACTCCGACTATACTGAACAAAGCTGAGTTACAGTTTCTGAGAGAGACCTTGTTATCTAGCCTGATCAACAAGGTCGGAACGCTCAAGCCCTCGGCCACGATGACTTGTGTCTTCGTGCTAGCACAGTGACTGTCGGCCCACAAGAGTCCGGTCTAGCTAATTTCACTCACAAGGCTTGGGTTACCAACCGTCGTATGGTTTTCA